ACTGCATCAGCATGTCTGCTGAAACAGGGTATCTGCTATTTATTAAAGCCAAGATTCACAGTGTAATTACTGCATCAGCATGTCTGCTGAAACAGCGTATCTGCTGTTTATTAAAGCCAAGGTTTGCAGTGAACATATCAGATGAAAAACAATTCTGATTTGTGGATCTTATTTTGAACACAGCCTATGTTTTGGTTGGCAAAAATAATTAACAGCTTTGCCAACACTTTGCTATCTTCTTAGCAAATTAAGATCTCTCTCTCCTTTTTTTAGGTATGTTCACTCTGGTTTTAGTACTAAAACTTCTTTTAGTACTGATGATCTTTTGATTAAGGACTTTTCACATGTGATCCCCTCTTTTTTTGATAATGATCTCATTATAGGGATCAATTTCACCTCCGATCTCATTAAAGCAAAAGAAGAAAACTTGATCTCATACATATCTGTTTCATCCTTCTTAGATCAATTCTAGATTAAAGTTTGAATGAAATTTACCCATCATGTTAAACAGATATCATAAGAGAGATTATATCAAAATATTTGAGGACTACAGAAATCAATTTTAGGAGATTTTCTTTTATTTGAAAAACATTTTGATTTCTCAAGTAGACCTAATTGGAGACTTCCTTGGTCTTAGGCTGATATGTTCTCAATTTCAGATTTGAAATTTTGATCTCATAAAGAGTGAAGGATTTAGAGGTTGCCTTGATCTCATGGGGAGATCATATCAACATGTTTGAAGATTAGATTGATCTCATAAAGAAATCAGTTTCAAAAAATACACATTTACTTGAAAATCATTTTGATCTCATAAGGAGATTAGGTTAAGTTGACCTCATTGAAGATTATCTTGATTTCATAAAGAGATTAGATCAAGTTTACCTTATTGAAGACTACCTTGATCTCATAAAGAGATTAGGTCAAGTTTACCTTATTGAAGACTACCTTGGCCTTAGGCTGATATGTCCTCAATTTCGATTCGAAATATTGACCTCATAAAGAGGGAAGGATTTAAAGGTTGCTTTGATCTCATGAGGAGATTATATCAAAATGTTTGAAGATTAGATTGATCTCATAAAGAAATCAGTTTTAAAAAAAAACACATTTTTTTTACTTGAGAATCATTTTGATCTCATAAAGAGATAAGGTCAAGTTGACCTCATTGAAGATTATTTTGATCCCAAGATGATAAAGTATAGAAGAATGTTTTGATAAATTTCAGGCTTTTAATCTCACAAAAGAGATTGATTTCAGATTTGAATTTTTATTTTTTATTTTTTGTTTTGACAATGGGAATGAGTTGGACCTCATAAAGAGGGAATAAGAGATATCACTTTCATAAAGTTTAACCACTTGATGATGGTTCTAATTGATCATCTTCATATTTGAAGATTTAATAGTCTCATAAAGAGATTAATTTCAGATTTTAATGATCTCATAAAGGAGATCCATTTTAGGAAACTTGATAGTTATCTTTAGTTGGTCACAAAAGGGAAATCAATGATTCAAGTTTCAACCTCATAATAAACAGTGATAATATTTTGATGAAAGGAAAACATTTTTTATCTTTTAAATAAAAGAAATCAACTTCGAATTTAATTATTTGAAAATGGATTTATAATGGTTTTGATGAAAGGTCAACTTTTGGTCTCGTAAAAGAGATCAATTGTAGATTTGATAGTAGAGATCGGTTGAGAGCTTATTAATGTCTTTATGGATATCAAATGAGGATATCACAATAGAGACCAAAAAGAAGGAATCATTGTTATGTATTCATTCTTAAGGCACTATAGGGTGAAGCTTTTCACCCTTAATAATTCTTTAAGTGCCTTTGGGTGATGGTATCATAGACTAAATTAAAATTGGATTTATTTCATCCGTACACAGTTTACACTCTTGCGGGCCAAGAGTAAGTACTTTTTTTATGTTGTGGTTGGACTTATGCACTAGGCCGCCTACATACCCATTTAGTAGGGGTGTTCACGGGTCGGGTTGGGTCAGTTTATTGGGGTTTTCCCAACCGACCCGACCTGGTCGGGTTACTTGAGGTGGAAACCGAAACCGACCCACTGATAGGCCAAACCGACTTGGTCGGTTTGAGTCAGGTTGGGTCGGTTTGGGTCGATTTCGGTTTTGCTCCTATACAAAAGGACACCTAATTGAATTCTAATTGTAATTGCCTAATGGGTTGCCTATTTGGTGTAAAAGATTATAGAAAGTTAGAAACTATGATAGATTGCCTATTCTAATTGTAATTGCCTAATGGGCCTTCTAGTTCTAGTAGAAGACTAGTTATAGTTAAGTAGGAAACTACTCAAGCTAGGAACTACCGAACTAGTAGAAAGACTAGTTCGGTTCGGGTCGGGTTGGTTTCGGTTTTCACACAAGAAAACCGAAACCGACCCAATATATCGGTTTATATATTTTCCCAACCCGAAACCGACCGGTACTGATGAAAACCCGGCTGACTCGGGTTGGGTTGGTCCGGGTTGGTCGGTTTGGTCGGGTTGGGCATTCTTATGAACAGCCCTACCATTTAGGGATCAAGCAGACGTAGTTCATGTGTCACTTCAACAGTTACACACTTATTTATATCTTGTCCTTTTGTATCCTTTGTTTGGAATTGGTTTTCTTCTATCTTTGGACACAGGTGGACCCCTCCTTCAGATGTAGGAAGACTCTTTGATCCAAACTTCTTTAGACCTCCAAAGAAGAAGGGGAGAGCAACAAGAGCAGCTGTTTTGTGGTCAATCTGGGAAGAAAGAAACAAATAGGATCTTCTAGGGTTCTGAAAGATCCAAGGAGCAAATCATTGATTTCATATCTACCAAGGTCATTCATTGGCTTAAAGCATCTCCCTTATTTAAAGATTATTCAGCTGATGATTTGTTTAGAGGCTGGTACACTGTGGCAAACTCTTCTTCATTGAGGTCTATGATAAAGGAGCAATGGATCCCTCCTGCACATCAATGGGTGAAGCTGAACTTCGATGGAAGCTCCTTATGCAACCTGGGTCCCTCTGGGGTGGGAGGAGCCTTCAGAGACAGGGAGGGCAGATTGGTTGCCCTGTATTCTGGTCCAATACGTGATGGAGACTCTTTGAGAGCAGAGATTATGGCCTTGCTACAAGGTCTAAGGCCGGCTAAACAATGGGGCCTACACCAGATTGAGGTAGAAGGGGACTCTAAACTATTAATTGGGTGGATGCAGTCACATAAATTGGGGGCTTGGGTACATCGACAATTCATGAGGAAATAAACTGCTTAGCAAGGGAGGTTGGGTCACTGTTCAGGTGGACAAGAAGGTCAGCAAATGACTAGCCAACACCCTTGCAAAGCAAGGAACTTTCAGGAAGAATTTGTTTTGGGCTGTTCTGTAATCAGAAAGCATTTTTCTAGAGGTAAACACCCTTAACTGGGTGGTGACAATGTATTCTCTTAACTTTTCTAATGAAAGTTATTGTTTCTGATAAAAAAAAAAAATATTTAAAAGAATATCCTGGGGAGAGAAATTTGGAGTAAGCCCATACCACCTAAAGTTCAAGCACTATGCTGGGAGGTTTTTCTTGGAAAAGTGAACACCTATGATCTGCTTCAAAAAAGGAGACCGAATAGATGTCTTTCCCCACATGTGTGTTTTCTTTGTTTTGCAAATGGTGAATCCTTACCCTACTTACTAGTCTTTTGTCCCTCTGTGTTGTATATTTCGGAGTCTTTTTGTTCTCTTTTTGGTTGCAAATGGATAGCTGCTCAGTATGTAGTGAGTCTTCAGCCTATATTTCCTAAGTCAGCCAACAGAAAGAGGAAGAACAATGTGGAAGGCAGTTAGAGTTGCTGTGGTGTTGTCCATCTAGGAGGAGAGGAGTGCAAGAATATTTAATGAGAAGCTCAGGTTAAAGGAGGAATTGGTGGGATTAATAAAAATTAAAGCAGTTCATTGGACCAAAAACCCTGGACATCTTCCAATGTTTTACAGCGAATGATATAATAAGGGCTTGGAATGTGGTGGCACACTCTTCAAAACAAAAGGAAAGAGATATGATGGAATGGAAGCCACCAGAAAGAGATAAGAAAAAGTTAATTTTTTATGGGAGTTCAATTGAAAACCCGGGGATAGCAGGTATTGGTGGTGTGTTTAGAGATTCATCAAGTAAAGTGCTGGCTATGTACTCAGGACCCATAGGAGAAGGGGACTCTTTAAAAGGCTGAACTGATTGCGCTGTTACAAAGCTTAAAATTTGCTAAGAAATCCTTTTTTTATAATTAAAAATGATCAATTTCATTAATATAAACTATTGCAGTTACAAGTTTCCTGTGGAGAGGCACGAGCTGTGTCCTCTCCTGTCAGTAGGAAAAAAACAAAGGATAGAAGACAGATTCAGTCTACAATTGAGCCCAATACAAACTTTCCCTGTTTACCCCTTGCTTTGCAAGATCATCAGCCATAGAGTTTGCTGACCTCTCCACCCATTGTATTCTTACAGTCAAGCTTCTTATTAGGCAGTTGAACTTTTTAATTCATTCTTAAAACACCACACAACAGATTCCAGATTTTGTAGCCAGCCCACTACTACCTTGGAGTCCCCTTCAATTATCATCTGTTCCACACCTATCTGCACTGCTAATTGTACTCCCTGGATAGCAGCAGCAAGTTCCGCCCTAGTAGAGTTTCCAACTCCTATGGGTCCTGAGAAAATAAGGACCACATTCCCACTCTCATTCCTCAGTACCCCTCCCACCCCTGACGGACCAGGATTACCAAGGGTGCTCCCATCAAAATTCAGCTTCAAGAATCTTTCAGGAGGGGGTTCCCAAGCTATGCTCACTTTTATTTTTTTTGGATGAGCAATTAGCCACTGCTAACCAATTCCTCCACACATCATTGAATGTGAATTGATGAAATAAATCCAGTGATTTTAGCCATGAGATCACCCTATTTAGAATGCAGTCCTTCATCTCTTCTGGGCTTCTCTCCTTCTCTTGGAAAATTCTGACATTCCTTTCTTCCCACACAGACCACATCAGCACTGCTCTTGCACACCTCCACATAATCCTTCCTCTTCTGTGCCGCCAAGGGAAGAAAGCAGGATCAAAGAACAAGCTTGCATCTGCTGGCCTAACCAACCTGCACCCAAACAATGAGAAGAGCCACTCCCATAACTCTGCAGTAAATGAACAAGATATTAGTATATGGTTACAGTCCTCACCATGTGACCTGCAAAGAATACACCAGGARGGTGARAGRYAGAGAAAMGGTYYTCTCTTTTGTAGARTRTCAAAGGTGTTTATTTTCCTATAATACACTTCCCAACAAAAAGCCATAACCTTAGGGGGAACAGGCCTGCACCAAATTTCCTTAAAAGGGAAAGGCTGGTTGGGGGTAGACCGAGTAATGGATTTAAAAAAAAAGAAGTGCATGAAAAGGATCCACTCCGCTGGGGTGTCCAAATCCTAGTGTCAAGATCAGAAGGGTCCAAACATGCTGTATCAAGTAGACTTAGCAGATTTGTGAGAGACACAATTTCCTCTTCCCTTAAGCCTCTACGAAACCCAAAATCCCAGTTTGGTGTTAATGGGTAATTCAAAATGGAAAAAAACTTTGACACAACATGCTTTTTGTTCGTTGAAATAGAGGATAAAAAAGGGAAAAGGTCCTTCAAATGGAACCTCTCCCACCCAAGTATCCTCCCAAAATAGGACTGAGTTACCATTGCAAACATCATACCTGATAAAACTGAGGAATTGAGGAAGAATGCCATGAATAGCTTTCCAAGGTGTTGCCAAGGTTGCCTGCCATGATACTCTAGCATCCCATCCGTTTTCTGAGTGACCATGAATACTACCCACCACCTCATGCCAAAGTCTCTCTCTCTCCACTGGCCACCTCCATAGCCACTTCCCTAGCAATGCTTTATTTTTTTTGAATCACATTCCCTATCCCCAAGCCCCCTTCCTCTGCATTCCGGCAAACCACCTCCCATTTTATCAAGTGATCCTTTTACTCTCCCCCATCTCCCATAGAAAATATCTCATCAGTTACTCTAGCTTATTAGCTTCTCTAGGTGGTATCCTAAACACAGACAGGCAATAGATTGGTAAGTTAGCAAGTGTGGCTCTTATCAACGTGATTCTACCCCCCAAGGATAAATAGTTTTTCCTCCACGAAGTTAACTTCTTTTGGAACCTCTCTACCACTGGACACCAAAAGCTACTCTCCCTAGGGTTTGCCCCTAACGAAAGCCCCAAGTAGGTCATAGGCCAGGATGAGATAGAACAACCTAAACTTCTTGCTATAAACTCCACCTCCCTATCCTCCAAATTAACACCAGCTACACAACTCTTTTCGAAGTTGACACTCAAATTTGACAACCTTTCAAAGCTTCTAACCAATTCCTTGAGGTTCCTCACTCTCTCAATCTCATCCCCGTCACAGAAGATCAGAATATCATCTGCAAATTGGAGATGGGTGGCCGGAATACCATCCCTCCCTATTCTCCACCCTTTAATCACATCTTCTCTATCAGCCTTTGAGATCATTCTACTAAGCACCTCTGCTATTAGAGTGAAGAGGAAGGGTGAGAGAGGGTCTCCTTGCATGATACCTCTACAAGCTGGGAAGAAATCCTTCACCATTCCATTGACCAAGACAGAGTAATGGCAGGAACATCCATAAATCCAACTACACCACTTATTCCCAAATCCACAATTTCTCAATACTTCTATCAAAAAATGCCATTCCACCAAATCATAGGCCTTTTCTAAATCCAACTTACAAACAAAGCCTTTTCTTTTAGATCTTCTCATATCCTCCACGCACTCATTAGCAATTAGGATCTGATCTACCATCTGTCTCCCTTGTACAAAGGCTCCTTGTTCTTGGCTTATTAAGGATGGGAGAATTGCTTTAAGCCTCAAAGACAACACCTTAGCCAGGATTTTGTAAATGCTTGTTACCAGACTAATTGGCCTGAATTCCTTAGGTTGAATAGCATCCGATTTCTTAGGAATTAAGGCCAAGAAAGTGGCATGGACTCCCGGACTTACTATATGATTCTCTAAAAATTCCTAGACAACAACACGAAGATCTTCTTTCAAGGTATCCCAACAATCTTGATAGAAAGACATAGTAAATCCGTCAGGACTTGGCGCCTTAGATCTATCCATCATAAACACTACCCTCCTGATCTCCTCTTCCTCAATGTTCCTCTCTAGCCACCTTGCTTTTTCTTCCTCTAATCTTGGCCATTCCAAACCATCCACAGGTACCCTTTCATTCAAAGACCTACTATAGATGGATTTAAAATGATCTACAAAGGTCCTGGCTATATCCTCTTGGTTGGTGACCACATGCCCTTCTATTTCTAATCTAGCTACTAAGTTCTTCCTCCTTCTACCATTTGCCAACTCATGAAAGAACCTAGTATTCCCATCCCCCTCCTTAATCCACTTGTGCCTCGACTTCTGCCTCCAGCAAATCTCTTCTTTGAGTAAAACCTCTTCTAAGTCCTTCTTCAATTGCCTTCTTGATTCTCTATCTTGTTCCCTCAATAACCCTTAAGCTTCATTTCCATCCAATTTTTCAATTCGTGTGACCAAGCTCAACTTTTGTTCCTCCACCCTGCCGAAATGATCTTTATTCCACTCCTTCAATTTGACTCTCAGTCTCTTCAACTTCTGATGAAACTTAATTCATTTCCACTTTATTCCCCTTAACTCCTCGTTCCAGCAATCCTTCACTAAGCTTTCAAACCCAGGATGAGTTAACCACATATTCTCAAACCTGAATGGTTTAGGTCCACTAACTAGGGGTTCCACACCAATCCTGATGAGACAATGGTCTAATGTAACCCTAGGCAGAGCTCTAGAGACCAAGTTCCCCCAGCTGTTTTCCCATTCTAAATTGAATAAAAACCTATCCAGCTTTGAACACAGCAAATTAGCTTGAAAGTTAGACCAGGTGAATCTAGCTTGCAACATTGGAATTTCTTTTAGCTCGCAATCTTCTATAAACCCATTAAATTTCCGCATACTTGTTGTGACTGACTAGACATGATTGCTAGATTCCTCTGAGTACCTTGTGACATTGAAATGCCCTCCCAGACACCAAGGTCCATCCCATAAACCTCGAATTGCATACAAGTCCTCCCACAATTCATTTCTTTCTCTGTAGAAATTAGGTTTGTACACATTGGTCAGCACCCAACAAAATCCATCCACTACATCCTTGAATTTAATGGATACCGAGTATCTACCCACTAGCTCCTCCACTGCTTCCACTACCCCATTCTTCCACACGATGACAATTCCTCTCGAGACACCCCAGGATGGAGCCAAGGACCAACTAACACCTCTAATCCTCCAAAAACCTCTTATCCATCTTCCATCCAGTTCAAAGAGCTTTGTTTCTTGCACCATCACAATGTCAGGCTTCTCCCTTGTGAGTAAATCCTTTAATACTCTCCTTTTCCTAGCACTTCCCAATCCTCTCACATTCCAACTGATAATCCTCGTGGGCACTCTTTCAATAAGGTCCCTCCTGAAGTCAACTCCTTACCTAGAGTTCTTCCTCCTCTCTCCCCTTCCGCTAAACTCAATATCAGCCTCGATGTCAGATATAGTTGTTGCACCTCAGTCCTTTTCTTCTTTCTATGCTCCCTTTTCTCCTCTTTTTTTTCCTCGGGTTTTCTATGGTATGTTTTAATTACTTCCTTTCCCACCCCAAGGTCAACCTTGTAATGATCTCTTCCTGTTTCAGAATTTGATCCTGCCATCTTATCGCCTTCTATTTCTTCCCCCTCTCCTTCCTCACTAAGCAAACCTTTCTTCTGAGAATTCCTTTCCAAGTAATCTTCCTTCAGTCTTATTTCCTCAAATTTTGTACAGATTAGCTTCCATATTCTTTCCACCTCCTCCCCCACACCTTTATGACAATTTAATTCTTCATTCTTCTTATATTCAAGATTGCCACCAACACCTTCAATCCTTCCTTTAGCCACCACATCTGCTCCTTTAGGATGGGACATTAGAGTATCTGCAACAGGCTGAACACACACATCAGTAACAAAAACCGAATGGACACCCATACCTGATCGCAGAGTAGGAGAATAGGGAGAAAAGAGGCCTGCATCTGAGAAATTACAGGTAGTGCCAAGTCTGTCCCCTTAGTTGGCGTTTGTAGTGAAGTGGTTAAAGTTAAATTTTCACCTTTATCAAATCGTACCCGCAGAGAAGCCTGTTCCTGTTCCTCCCTTTTTGGCCTATCTTCACAGTCCATCGGAGATTCCTGTGCCTTTATACTAACTCTGTTTGTGTCCTGAGAGGTTGTAATTGCTCCCTCATGGAAGGGGGTGTAATAAGCTCCGCATCTGAATACGTGCTTTCTATCCTTCTCATCTCCCCTTCTTCCTCTTGAGAGAATCCTTCTAAGTAGAGAACCTCTGTACTGAAGCTTTCTTCCTGTAAAATATCCACGTTTTCTTGCAGATCAATACTTCCCAAACTTGATGTATCCGTCGAAACTTCATTGTCGCCACCTTCTTCATCTGTGTCTTCACTATTCAAAAGGTTCTAGGCCGCGCCGCTTCAAGCTTCTGAGGTTTCGCCTGTCCGGAGAGAGGATCTTGGACCTCTTGGCCAGAACCCATTGTAGGTAGGTTGGGGCCAATACTACTACTCGCGCGCAGGCTTGATAGAAAGAATTCGAGGAAGAGGGAGATAGACGGTTCTTACCATCTATTGGAGTTGTTTCTTTCCCAAGCGTGTGTGACTTAAGTGAGTCACGCGACCTGGCATGGGCCAACTTGATCCGCGGCCCACCTATCCTTTTGTTACTAGGCCCAACAGTGTTTTGAGGCCCACTCGAGCTAATAAGCTCTGGCACGTGAGACTTTACAAGGTCACGCTCAGTGCCCCCTACCCTAAATTCCGGTTCACCCTTTTTTGGTTCAACCCGGTCTGACACCTTAACCTTCCTTTTGATTTTTGAATTTGAATCCGAAAATTCACCTTCTTTTACCACCTGAGCATAAGATTTACTGCCCTCCCTACTGAAAACTTGTTCTCCACGTAGTTGACCGCCCAACCCTGTTCCTTGACCTTTGCCATTTTGACCTTCCTGTCTGCCAAAACCTTTAGACAGTCCTAAAGGCTGTCTATCCAAATGTGTGAAAGCTTTATCTTTCTCTGAGTGCCTTGCCCCCATCCTGCCACATAGCTCTAGCCATTCTTTCCTTTCATCTTCAACCTATCGAGCCTCCCTCCAACATTAATACTTACCTTTCTGGGTATATCTTCAAGCTTAACTCCACTCACCAACAAGGCTTCCGATCGTAGGTCTCCCCAGAACTCTACGTCAAGACGAACACCACAAAGCATTGCAATGGAGGCTGCTGTCTCATGATTCCACAAGTGGAAAGGCTTGGAGTTCGACGAGGGAGACCACTTAAACAGACTAAAAGAACCTAAAGGATCCTGAAAGCTCAGAGCTTCCACTTCAATCAAATTTTCAACAGGATCAAGTAGGACCTTAAAGCTGTTAAAAGGGGTCAGGATAAAGGTGGTTCTCAGGTTCAATTTTTGTATTAACATATCAGCCACTTTCCTCCACTCCAGTATCGGTTTATTAGCCTCAAGCACCATCATGTCTTCCCAACAACCTTTTCTTACATTGACAGTCATTGTGGAAAGGCTCTGACAGTGTGCCATAACAAACATATCCTTCCTTTTCACCTCAGCATCAGTCTTCCTTGGAACCTCTCCCTCTCCTTTATCTTCCCCCTTTCTCCTGGAATTAAAAAATGTCTTTAACACTGAGGCAACCTCCTTCCATCCTTGACCATTCTTTCCTTGAGGGAAGCAGACCATTTGCTTCTTACCTTTAGCAAAAAATTCAGACAAGGAGATATATGAGCCTTTTGAGTTCCTCTTACACTCCATCAGGTAACTTCTTCCTGTCTCCACGGACCATTCCTGCCTACTTGGTTTTTTGCCTCTATTTGCTGCCTCCGACATGAACTCCATGAGCCATTCAACCATCTCCTGACCTTGAACCAACACCATAGCCTTCTTCATTTCCCGAATCTTTAGGCTAGAGTGTCCCTTAATCTTCAACTCCTCGAAGAGAAACTCCTTAGTTTCGATTCTTAAAGACTTCCTCCATCGTGCAACCTCCACAAAGCCTCTGCTCTCCATCTTTCCTAAGTCCTAATAACCTTTATGCCTTATCTAATTAAGCCTAATACCCAAGAGCTGACCAACCACATCAAGACACCCAACCATAACCCCCCAAACCAAGGGAGCTAACCAGAAATACTGCAAAAAGATTCAAATAAACGTCTCTAGGTCCCAAGCATTTATAGAAAGAAATTTCCTTCTAGTAATTTGTCCCTAGGTTCCTTTTATTTGCCTAGGGAAAAATGCTAAGAAATCCAATTTTAGAAACTTGCCTTAAGGGAGACAAACAGTCTGGAAGGGGACCTGATGCTTCCTTCAATTGGAATCGAAGGACAGGTAATGGGATGGGCGGCACTTTAGAAAAGCAAGGGGTATTGAGGCAGCAGTTATTCTGGGCTCTATTGTAAATTAGTTATATGGACATCTGTATTTCTGGGTGAATGAATACCCAAACTGTTGTAACTTTTACCTCCCCATTAATAAAATTAATCTTTTTTCTGATAAAAAAACAAAAAGATTCAAAAGAATATCACTTTGTCTAGAGTCTTCCTAGAAAGACCTCTAGAGAGCTTTTAACTGGCCAATGGTTTACAAGGAATGACTTATTTCTTTGAATAGAGCAGTTAAATGAGAATGGGTAACTGACTCTTCAAATAAATGGTATAGAGCATAGACCTTTGAGTACTTCTACATCTTCTAACAAGATAGGTGGTGGCTAAAACTCCATCCATATAAAAAAGAAGCCTTTTCAGGGATCTTTGAGCCCAATTCCACTGCTGAGGGAATGGACATTCTCCCTGCCAATGAGAGTTAAATAGCAAGATTTCCTTGAGAATATCCTTCAGAATTTATGTCTCATATCCCCCTATCAATGGAGCATTATTGAAGTTTAAAATTTAATTTTGTACAGTCTAGCTACTGATTGTTGAGTTTCTCATCCAAATACCTACTTCGCCAGAGAATTCACTTGCCATCTGGGAACCAAAAACAAAAAGCCTAATAGAGATATTGCCAGTAATAACTCAATTAAGAGGTTCTTGAAAAAGTTCTATTCTAGGACAAGTTAAAATATATGGTAAAAGAGGATTAACAAAAAACTTAATTAAGCTGAGATTTCTTGTTGCAGCTTCATGACCCTACCTACCTATCTGCAGTAATTGGCATGCAGAGAATCAATCAAATGTATTGGTGGGCAAGCAACATTAAATGCGGAATTGTCTAATAAGTGGAGGCTTGAATATGGAAGATTTGTATAGCCACGATTGCAATGAGAACCAAATGCATGAAAATATGTAAAAACATTCAAGATAATATGCACTAAGCAATCTCGTCACCTCATGAAATTACATATGACTGCAAGGAACATACATGGGAGACCATGGCATTGCAGCTGAGAAACTGTGCGTCTCCAAAAATGAATTTGAGAGTATCAACGACCGAACACGTCTTGGACGATACTGAGCAAAAAGTTGAGCTAGGAATCCTCCTAGCGATGTTCCATAAAGATGTACCTGTTAAATGAGATTGGTCAGCCTATCCAAGAAAAAACTCAAACTATCAAATCACAATCACAAATTGAACATGAACAGCTATTGTAATACCAAATCACAATCACGAATTGCATATTCTAACTCTGAATTTTGTTTTTGATAAGCAACAGTGTATTTCATTAAAACCCCAGCATGCTCAAGGAAAGAAGCAGCTGGTCAAGCAGTACAAGGCTAGCTCTGAGACAAGGAGCACAAATTACACACCAGTTAAGAACAACTGAACAAGAAAACAATACAACAATGCAACTCAGATATAATCATTACAGATTGATCCCCATCCCTGGACATCCTCATTCTAATTGATTTCTCCCCAGCCCTGCCCTTGCAAGTGAGTCTGTTAATTCATTGGCATGCCTGGACACCCAGTTGAACGAGCTATTCAAATTCAAATTGGTGGCCACAGATTGTGCCTGTCTCACCATCAGTCTGAATTCCCATGAATTTATATCTTGAGAACTCATCCAACAAATTACAGTTCAGCAAGACTAGTATCCCAGCTGAAGAAGAAGGTTGCCCATGAAATAGGCAGAACCTGGGGATTCATTTAAAAGTGAATGTTTCATGTATTGCAACACTTTTAGCTCTGCAGTTTATCGTTTTTGAACCGCTGAAGCCATGATAAAAGGGAGTTGCTTATCTCATGCATCTAAATCACCAAGAACTGCAAGATCCAAAAAGTTGGAACTGAATACCATCTTGTTAGTTACTTTTGACTTATGAAAAATCAGGTCTCCTTAAGTTTTCCAAATCTTAAAGCAAAATGTAAGCCCCACATCTCTCTCTCTCTCTCTTTGTGGTGGGGGGCAATAGTCTAATCAAA